TGTCTCTCCCAAATTTCTAGAAGCCGCTAGAACCCGCTCAAGAACACAAGAACCCTAATTTCAGCAAAAGTTAGAGATAAAAAACTAACCCTAGCATCCCAACATACTTAAACATACAATTAATTGAGTAAACTACCCAAAAGCCCTTCAAATTTAAATTTCCCTCCTAATCCCTTTTTAATTGCCCATTAAAGCTCCTGATTTAATGCTGGACCCCACCCCCAAAGGGGATGGCATGATTGGCGGAAGGGAGAGAGGAAAATAAATAAGATTAAGATAATATAATGCTGATTGAATGGATTCAATGGTGTTTCATGCACATACTTTGTGCCAGCATAAGCTATTTTAGGGGGAAAAAGTTGTTTCACACAAATATATACAGGTTTACTTGTATGAAAGACTACAACAACGTTTTACCAAAATTAATCAAGAACATAGACTTATTTATCAATGAAACTACTTATATGTCTTGAAAAAAACTAATTATTTATTTAATAACTGATATATATTAGACATATTAATATATTTTGTATAAATGCTCTTGTACACGTGTTATATTGTGATTGGATTTTACTTACCTGTCCTAATGTCTAGTCTATAAATAGGTCTTTTGTACATCTATTTTGAGATAGTAAATATCATTCTTTCTTTCTTCTGAATCTTGTCCTTTCTTCCTTCTTGTTCGTCTCCGAGAGCTCTGCTTTCATGGTATCAGAGCGGAACATCCTGTGATCCTCGTTTCTTTCTTCGGATCTTGCTCCTTTCATCGGTTGCAATGGCAACCTCATCCTCCTCAACCGCCGCTACAAACGAACCTCGTCAAAACTCCGGCACCATTGTCGAGTACAAATAACAACTCAAATTCTTGATGAGCCATATCTAAGGTCTAATTTCTCTCACACTCACCGCCGAGAACTTTCCCATCTGGCGTTCTCAAGTCTTCAAACTCTTCAAAGAAAATGGGTTTTCTCGACGACAGCTACGTCTGTCCCTCCTCCACCACCATCACCTCCGACAATGAGATCTCCTACCACAATTGGAATCTTCTTGATCAAAACCTTGCCACTACTCTATATTCGGTTATCTCCCGAGCATACTTCCTTATGTACTCTCTTTGGATCATTGCGCCGAGATCTGGGATACGATCATACGCCGCCTGCAATCCAATACGCGCTCCCGCACAATCCAGCTACGCAACGAACTACATCACCTCTCTATGAAAAATCAGTCCATGTCTCAATATCTTCTTGCTATCAAATCCATTGTGGATGCTATCGCCGCTACCGGATCTCCTCTTGATCCGGAGGAGGTGATCTTTTACACCCTGAACGGTCTTCCCGCGCAGTACCAAGCGTTCAAAACCGCCATTCGTACCAACCTGCAGCCTCTCAGCCTCGACGATCTTTATACACTTATGTGCAACGAAGAACTGAACATTGCTCAAGAAACTACCACCGCACTCCAGAATCTTCATCTATCTGATCCTACCACTGCTCTCGCAACATACAGAGGGCGTGGTCGTAGTCGCACAACTCAAAGCCGCGGGCGATCTTCAAACCGCGGCAGACCTCGCACTGACAAATCTTCATCCACTACTCTAATCTGTCAAATCTGCTCCAAACCTGGACATTCCGCGCTCAAATGCTGGTATCGTCATGACCCAGCATATCAAGACGAACCTGCTAAGGCTGCATTGTTCACTCCATCTGAAGCCAACAATTCCTCGGATTGGTTTCTTGACAGCGGAGCGTCGAACCATCTTACATCTGAATCGTCTAACCTTCAGTCCAGCAAACCATACACGGGAAGTCAACAAATCACACTCGGTAATGGCTATCAACTTCCCATCCTACACTCCGGAAAAGGTATTTTACCCACCCCAACAGGTAATCTTTCCCTAAAGCATCTTCTTCATGTGCCGAATCTTTCGTTTAATCTTATCTCTGTTCATCGCCTAACCAGTGACAATCAATGCACTGTCAAGTTCTCTGCTAATGGTTTTTACATCCAGGACTCGAAGACAGGTCAACTACTCCTTCAGGGCCCTTGTCTTAACGGACTTTACCCAATCCGATCGTCCTCCTCTTCTCCTAACCTCGCTCTTTTCTCAGCTCAAGCGGTTCCGAACCTCTGGCATCGACGTCTGGGTCACCCGGCATGGCAAACATTACAAGCTATTTCTAAATACATTCCAGCACTTTGTAAAAATACAAATAAACTTCACTGTAATGCTTGTAATTTGGTTAAAAGCCATCGTTTACCCTTTACATCATCTAATTCTAATACTGCTCATATTTTTGATCTTGTTCACTCTGACGTTTGGGGCCCCTCCCCTGTTCCGTCCGCTCAAGGTTATAAGTATTACGTATCTTTCATTGACGATCACTCAAAATTTAGCTGGGTCTTCCCTATTATAAATAAATCTGACGTGTTTAGTATTTTTGTAGATTTTCACAACATGATTAAAAATCAGTTTAATACTTCCATTAAAATCTTTCGTTCCGACGGCGGCGGAGAATTTATCAATAACAGGTTTCGGTCTCTATTCCAACGCCTGGGGATTCTTCATCAGTTCACATGCCCCTACACGCCGGCTCAAAAAGGCGTTGCATAAAGGAAACACAGACACATTACTGAGACTATGTGAAGCTTGCTGATCGAAGCTAATCTTCCGAAAGTCCTCTGGGTGGAAGCCCTTAACACTTCGGTATATCTCATAAACAGACTGCCGTCTCGATCGCTCAAGCACAACAGTCCATATCAAATTCTGCATCAGAAATAGCCGGTCTACAACCATCTTAAAATCTTCGGATGTCTGTGTTATCCGTGGATTCGGCCTTATAATACTAACAAGCTGTCCCCTCTCTCTATCCCTTGCGTCTTCATCGGATACGCCTCCTCGCAAAAAGGGTATCGTTGCCTAAATCCTGTTACTGGTCATGTTTACATTTCCAGGCATGTCATTTTTAATGAAGCTTCCTTTCCCTACAAGCTCACTAATCCTGCTAACGGGTCCAACATTCAGCCCACTTTAGCACCTATTCCTCCCTTACTGCTCGTCCCAACTCAGTGCACTCAATCTCAACTCACAAGATCTAATATCAATCCTCCTCAGCATATGTCTCCTACCATCAATAATACTCCAACTGCTCACTCGCCACATTCAACACATATAAGCTCTCCTATTCTTCCCAGTATTTCCACATCCCAACTCCCTCAACGCTTACCTCAGTCAAACTCTTTCCCGAATGTGTTAAAACCAACCCACACAATGCAAACCCGGTCAAAAACAGGTCACTCTAAACCAAAGCAAATTTTCACTCTTGTGCACTCTGCTTCTGACCAAACTCCATCCACCTACAAAGAAGTTGTTGGATCACCGCACTGGAATGAGGCAATGCTACAAGAATTTAATGCCCTTCAGGCTCAACACACATGGGACTTGGTACCTCCTGATCCTACTCAAAATGTCCTTGGATGTAGATAGACGTTTCGCACTAAATACCTCGCCGATGGATCGATCGCCCGCTATAAGGCCAGACTTGTAGCACAGGGCTTTAATCAAGAGCACGGACTCGACTACGCTGAAACTTTCAGTCCAGTAGCCAAAATGACAATTGTCCGAGTTCTCATTGCCATCGCTCTGCATCATCAATGGCCGCTCCATCAGCTCGATGTATCAAATGCGTTTCTTCACGGTACGCTCAGTCACACTGTTTACATGAAGCAACGATTGGCTTCATTGACAGCCGTCATCCCGATTACATTTGTAAACTGAACAAAGCCTTGTACGGTCTCAAACAATCGCCGCGTGAATGGTTTGCAACTCTCTCCGGTCATCTTCATTCCCTCGGGTTCACATTCAGCCATTCTGATCCCTCTTTATTAATATACAATCGCAATGGTGTGCAAATGTACTTTCTGGTTTATGTGGACGATATCTTGCTCACTGGTAATAATCAAAATGCTCTCAAGCGTCTGCTCGACAACCTTAAAGCCAAGTTCACAATGATGGACCTTGGCTCACTCTCCCAGTTTCTCGGCATTCAGGCGATATCAACTTCCTACGGTCTGCATCTCACACAAAGCCAGTTCGCCAAACAGATCCTAGATCGTGCAGGTATGTCAAACTGCAAATCTGTCTCCACTCCTAAATTACAAAACTCCAAATCTGCTACTATACATTCTTCCACCTCGTTTTCTAATCCTACATTTTATCGTCAAATTGTTGGATGTCTTCAATACCTCACACTCACCCGACCGGATATTGCTTACTCCGTCAACAAGATCTGTCAACACATGCAAAATCCGACCAACGCTCATTTTGAAGATCTCAAGCGTCTTCTCCGATACATTCACGGCACGCTTCATCTTGGTCTTACAATCTTCCGAGACAAACCCATTCTATACTCCTACACCGACTCCGATTGGGCCGGCGACACCAATGACCGTAAATCTATTTCTGGTTACTGCAACTTTCTTGGCTCCTCACTCATATCTTGCAGCGCAGAGAAGCAAAATGCGGTGGCCCGATCCTCCACCGAACCAGAATATCGAGCACTCGCCGTCGCCACTGCCGAGATCATCTGGATTCGCCGTTTGATACCTTAGAAAATTCACATAAATCAACTAGCTCAAAAAGCTGGTAACCTGATAGTCATTAGAGTTAAATATCAATGGAAGTCTGAAAGATCTACCATCAGCTGGCACATTCACTAACCACATTAACCTTTACAAAATTTCAATATTTTTAAATTAATTAATAATATTAGTTCAATTTATTTATCATCCCATGAAATGTAAGGAAATGTTAACAGTTCTCTTAAAATTATATAAGGAAATTCCTAGCAGGTAAACTCAAAGTTGCATCACACTCCAATGGGGAAAGATAAATATCCAGAAAGAGCAACTCAAGCATTAAATGCTTCAGAACAAAATAATACATTAACCGGGCACTGCAGTATAACACATAAAAAAGCCATATCTTTGTGATAACGCACCAGGCACATCAGACAACATCAGATTCAATAGCAGCTTTCTACGGATCTCCTGCGCATGGTGCACTTCTCGAAGAAAGGTCGCATGTTCTTTCACACCATTAATGCCAAAGGTTGAAGCCTCTGCCCCCAAAGCAATGACTAACTTGTCATATGACACCTGAAACTTCCATGGCTCCAAGGAAGCAGAGATGGTGCCATCTGTAACAGTCTCACAGTGCACCTTGCAACGCACACCCAAACAAACAAAAAAAAAAAAGTTTTAGCCAACAAAGTGCTAACTTTTCCGCCTAACTCGAATAATAAAGTAAGAAAAGGAAAGTACATAAATTTTCTACATCACAGTTGAAAAATAGGTTTCAAGCTTCTTTCTTCACAATTATCTACTTTAATGTATTAGAAAGAGCACAATTATTATGTCCGCTTTTTCAGTTAGGATTTCACATTAAAAAAAAAATGTCTCTATTGTTCTTCAAAATTCTAAGTATGCCACTCATCCAAATCGAATTGGTCATGGTAATATTTCTATTTTGATTAGAAATATGCCACGAACAGAAACATGTTACCTTCAAATATTCGACTTGGTCAATTTTCAGCCTTGGTGGCATTCCTCGTCAACATAACTAGGGCATCAAAGAAAATTACGGATCATTTATTTATACATCCTAAATTTATATCCGACCCAAAAAACAATATCTATTAGTACTTTAGAATAACAAGTACTTCATGAAAAATAATTCAAAAGTTTTTATCTTCCTTCAGTGGAACCCAAGCCAGGAACACCAAGAATATTCAACTAGTTCATCAAATTTTTAGGGGACGCGTCATTCAAAGTGATCTAGATAATATACTTTTCAGATACCAGGTACAATGTATTCAACTCAATGTTATGTCATTTTAATAGATCAACGTTGATTATGATCTTCTTTTTGTAGTCATTTTAAATATCAAGTCCCAAAATCTAAATTGGAAGAATTACACATTTCTATTCGTTTAAGCATTTAACCCGATGTTACAGTCCTATATGAATAACAGAAAACATAAATGCATTTATATTCTTTAATATCTACAAATGATACATGCCTAAAAATATATATGTACAATAGTTATCATATAAAATAAACTAGTCCATCGTTATGAATAATACATCATGACTACAAAAGAACAAAAGAAATACCAACAGATATGAAAGGAAACTCTAGCTCGCAGCTCAAAACAATTTTAATCTACAAGATCCTTACCCTAGCCTGAAAACATATAAAAACCATATAATAAGCACATAGCTCAACAAGTAACCCATACTTATAACTAAAGCCAATGCATCAATCAGAAATAATAATTATATATCTATAAGAACCTGTGGCAATCAATAGGAACAATATCTTATTCATATAGTCTTATCATATCTCATGTTTGTATTATGTAAGAAATATATATATATATATATATATATATATATATATATATATATATATATATAAAAAAATGTG